AGCATTCTTATTTTACAGCATTTTTTCACACCTGCCTAAAACTTTTGCACAGTACTGCATGTGTGTATGTGTGTGTATTTTTCTTTTTCTCTGTACTTTTTTTTTACTTTTTATATTTTTGTATGTTTGTATTAGTCTTTCATCTTTGACAGCTACTTACCTAACCTAAAGTTTCATACCCAACTTTAATAAAAATTATTATTAAAAAAAGAAAGAAGATGAAAGGGGCTGAGCAAGAAGCTTTCAGCAGTGTGTATGGATGAAGTGATTTGGTATGAGACTGAAATGGGGGCATGCTTTGGAGGATCTTAGAGGTGTGTTGCTTGGAGATGTAGATGTGCATGTCCTCTTTTATGCAGACTGTGCTGTGGTGTTGGCTGAGAAGCTAAATGATCTGCAACAAGTGTGAGATAGGTTGTATGATGCAGTGAAGTACATAGATCTGAAAATTAATGTATCAGTGACCAAGTTAGATGCATTTGGCAGGGAAAATGGAGTGAACAACTCCAAGTTATAAACAAATGTGAAAAACTAGAGCAAATAGATGTATTGATGTACTTTTAGAACTTACTCTAATAGAAGAGAATATCTGTAGCTCAGGGTTGAACTGTGGAGTCCTTGGTGCTCTCTGAGGTTGATGGTCTCTGAGAATGTTTATTAAAAGGGAAATAGGAGGAACCATTTCAAGACATACAAATACTAGCAAAAATGTAGTGGGTAGTAGTCTGCTTCAAGGAATGAATATTTATTAAAAAAAAGTAAAAATGTGTATAAAAATTATTGTGTATAAAATGGCTTGTTATATGGAAGTCAGTATATCAAAGTTGAATGCAGCTGAATGATTTCCTTAAATGTGCAGTAAAGAAAATAAAAGAAAGAAATAGAAATATAAGAAGGAAGAGTGAACAGGTTCAGAAGGCAGAGAACACTAAAACCATGGTGGTATGAGATCATGTGGCAAATTTAAGAACAAAAGGCAACTTATATATACACAATGTATTAGAGTATGGATGTGGTGGAGGTATGGGTGATTTAGAAGGACAGAAAATATGCAGAATGTACAGGATGATAGTGATATAAATTAGATTTAACTGTGTTTCCCTTTTAAACATTTCATTTCATGTCTTTAACTTCATTTACTTATTTCATTTTCTTTTTCTATGCTTTACATAACAGCAGTTACCTTGAAAGGGAATGGTGTCACCGTCATCGTCATCATCGTTTAATATTTATATATATATTCCTGGTTCTTATTTTTTGTTTTTTAAATAGGAGGTCTGAGCAGTGTACTTCATGCCTCTCCCTTGTTAACTTCACACAAGCAACTATTTGAATTATACTAGGCTGAGAGATTGTGAGTCCTGAATGTCATAGTTAAGTGGTTCAGGTTTCGTATCTTTCCCCAAAAGTGAGTAACTTTCTTGTACCCTTTGGTACATGGTAGAAAAAAAGGTAAAAAACTATATAAAGTTTTGGCATTGGTTTGGAGGAGACTGGATAATATTATGTTTGGGGGAGGGGGGCTGCATAATTTTGTGTAGGGGACATGGCATTCATCCACTTTTGGGGAAGATACAATCCCTTCCCCCACAATAATATGAAAACAATGATGCTTTCATAATGGATTACAGCGTCACACTGTTTATCGTAATATAAGGAATATGTATTCTCAGTACAATACTCAAGGTAATACTTCAAGAAAGAAAACATGTGTTGGGTGAATTTTAGATCAGTAGTTCAGCTTATTCAAAGGCAAAGCTCATTGGGATTAACTGATTTGCTCCTAAATATTTAGGTATGGAATTGCATACATTTAGTTGATGTAATTGTATGCATACATTGCTTCTAGAAATAGGGAAAACTGAAAGTTTAATTAAATCACTTGAAAAAAGAGTAGCCTTAGATAAATTCACTTTGAATTATTTACTTACTTACTTATTTACTTATTTATTTATTTATATATACTATATCTCCAGACTCCCAAAAGACTCTCAGAGGTTTACAATATAACCAAATAAAATCAATTAAATCAGAATATAGCACTGAACATTATAACTATCAGTCCAGTTTGGCATCTGTTATCCAAAGCAATTCTGGCAATTAAAATTAAAGCTTTACAGAAAAACTCTGCTTCACCACCTTCCAAAACACCACTGGGGAAGGCGTTGTCCTAATTTCTGGAGGCAGGCTATTCCACAGGAATGGAGCCATGACAAAAACCTTGTCTTTTGCCTCCCCCAAGCCAAATCTCATGTAAGGGGGGACCCTACATTTCTGTACTGTGGGATAGTGGACCATAAGGGTCAGTTTTACTCGAAGAAGGCAGTCCTGGAGGTTCCTGGGTATTGAGCCACAAATAGCTTTATACATTAAAACCAGCACTTTGAGTTGTCCTGAGAAGCTCATTGGAAGCCAGTGCAGTGCCCACAAAATTGGTGTTATATGGTTGTAAAGGCTCTCATCTGCCAGGAGGGCCACTACATGTTGCACTAATATTAGTTTCCAGGTACTTCAAAGGCAGCCCCATGTATAACGCACAACAGACACAGGCACAGACTAAAACTAAATACAGAGTAAAAGGAAACAAAGAGCCCCAGTAAATGAAAACACAAGTATAAGCTCTTTAAAGTCCTGGCAGAATAAATTTATTGAAAGTAGGAGGAGAAGGGGCCAAAGTTAACTTTCAAGAATGTACATTCCACAACCTGGAACTGGTAGAAGAGAGTCCTCTTTCCCACACCATATAAATGGATGGACCTCTCAGCAGCTTTCCTCAGAAGGGTTTCATTTCTGTGTGGCTATAGATTGCAAGGGAAGAGAAGAAAATATTGCCTGGCTTTCTGATTAATTCTGCTCTCATGAGTGAGTGAAATCCAGAGAATAGTCTGTGTCAGAGAATTGCCTGACCGTAAATATAATGATATACTCTCTAACTTAGAGTATATCTTTAGAGAGCCAGTTTGGTCTCGTGGTGAAGGCACCAGGCTAGAGTCCAGGAGATGGTGAGTTGCAGTCCCACCTTAGGCATGAAAAACCAGCTGGGTGACTTTGGGCCCATCCCTCTCCCTCAGCCCAGGTATGTGAGCCACCTTGAGTTATTTATAAAAGTAATAAAGGCGGGATAAAAAAATCTTTTTTAAAAAAAAAAAACCTGATATAGCAGTAGATAAAAATGTTTAGATTTATCATGCCATTAATGGGTAACACAGTGGCTGTAGCATAATTGGCTTAGAGTAATGTTTTATATATAAACCACAGCTTATGCTTAGCATGTTTTAGGAATTCAGCAAATTGTTTAATGGACAACGCCATAGTTAAAGTTATGCACGGCTTAGTGTGATGGATAAACCCAGCCACTACTTAGAGTGGCCAAATCTTGCACATTTGTACATTGCTTTCTTGCTTTCTCTGTCCTACACACAAACAGACACACAAACAACTTGAATAATAACCAACAGTCTTTTTCTTCTAATGCTAGTATTTTTACTAAGTGTAGAAAATAATCCCATTAGTTTTCTAAGCAATATTAAAACATTTAGCCTCCAGAAATCAGATGGTCCCCCCCCCCCCAGCACAAAACCCAAGGGGGAGGGGCTTCCATTTTCTAAACTAATTTAATCTCATGGGAAAGTAATCTTGTTGAAAATAATCCCATTAGTTTTCTAAGCAATATTAGAAAATAATCCCATTAGTTTTCTAAGCAATATTAAAACATTTAGCCTCCAGAAATCAGATGGTCCCCCCCCCCCAGCACTAAAGCCATAGTGGGATGGGCTTCCATTTACTAACGTAATTTAATCTCATGGGAAAGTAATCTTGTTAAAATATTGTCAGGTTAATTGAAATTGATTTGTGATTTACTAAACATAGTATTTGCTAATCAAATATCAGGCTTAGAAGCTTTGGAAGTTTGATAGATTCCTATTAGTTTTACACTAAGTGTAATCAGCAAGTCAAATATATGGACAAATAAATGCACTGGAACATTTTTTTCACTCTCTTTTAAAATGGATAACACTTATGTGTCAATAATTTACCTTCCATGAGATGATACACTTTGAGATAAAGGAGATAGTCATGAAGTCCAGATTACTTCTATGTGTTATTTGTCAATACCTCACATATGCTTTCCATCTGTTTAATTATTTCTCTAATGTGTTGCTCCAGACTATTGAAAACTATTTTCACACAAGCATACATGGATTATTATGTTCTGGATATCCTTGATGTAAAGGGGGGGGAGGCATTTAACATGCTCCCCTCACCCATCCTGGTCTGAAATATGCTTTTCTGTATATGTAACTACAACATTACTTCCTTCTGCTATGAATACCATTGTTTGTTTTCTTTATTCTTTATCATTATTACCTGGGTTTATTACTTCTACTGCTTTGGTTTATACATAGAAGTTTTCCTTAGAGTTATCAGAGAGACGGAGATGGAAGTACATGGTTAGAGGTTCAGATTCCTGTTTCATATGTCAAGGAATACTTATTTTTTCACTATTTATTTTTTCAGTATTTTAATAAAATCTAACAACTCAGGGTGGACATAAGGGTGAATAGTGCCATTTTTAGTTAACCAGCTTTATTTTTTAAAAAATAGTTTTATAATTTATGAGCTACAAATTTTTAAAAACAATGAAGTAGCATCTTAAATACTAGCACATGTACTATTATATAAACTTAAAGCATGATATGTTCATTAGTGTTTAGGTGTCATAAGATTTTTCTTTATGGTTTTCTACAGTAAACTGAGAATGATTTTCTTATGGATGCTAATGTGTATAAATATTAATATAAGCAAAAGACAGAACTTTTCTGTTACAGACTGCATTTTATGTCCCTGCTATTAAAGGTGTATAATTTTTAAAAATGTCTGACATTTCTCTCTACAGAAAGCTCTTCTTTACAGACTATGGAAACGTTGCTAAAATTGAGAGATGTGATATGGATGGCATGAACAGAACAAGGATAGTAATATCTAAAATAGAGCAACCCACTGCTCTTACACTTGACCTTGTCAGCAAATACGTTTACTGGATAGATGTTTATCTTGACTCTGTAGGAGTGGTTGACTACCAAGGACGTAACAGGCAAACTATAATTGAAGGCCAACTAGTAAGTACCATGTTTATTTATAATTATATATATACACTAACATATACATTACACATAAATACATACATGTTCACATAGTAATAGTTTTAGCCACATTATTTGTGGCATAACATCACAAGATTTTTTTTTTAATAATTCTTATATGAGCATTCAGTCAAGTTCATGGGTTAAATTTTATTTCCACTTGTTCCTGGCCATCGTGAATTTTTGTCTATCTACTGATCTTGCCTGTTAAACTCTGGTTGTGGTTTCAAGTTTGTGAAGGTGTATGAAGATCTAAATGGAGTTTACCATGACTACAAATAGTCCAGTAAATTAATATTAATAATGCACATTTTGGAACCATATCAAGAATACACAAATCTAAAATAGAATGCATTATTTATTTATTTATTTATTATTTTATCTTGCTTTTTCTGATATGGAAAAATCTTTCAAGGAAATTCCAAAAGAAACATTTTGAAAAAGAATCAAGTCAAATTGATAATGAGATTTCTTTTTCTGTATTGTGTTATATTCAAAATAGCAGACTGTTGCTTATATTCAAGAAGGACAGGGTCAATCAGCACATGGCCAAGCATGCTTATGAAAAGGGCTTCACTCACCTTCTATTTTCTCTCTGTTAGGGCCCAGCATTTGAATAAATTAGAATAGATTCAGATAAGAGAAGCAAAGATGACCAGGAGATTAGAAACTTAGTTATTTGAAGAAAGATAAAGGCAGTTGGATATAATTATACTTGGAAAGAGATTATTGGTGATTGGTAGCACTTTCCAAGTTCCTGAAGAATTGTCAGATAGAAGAAAATCACATCTAATAGATAACTGTCTGAGTGTAAAGGCCAAAATACTGTTTTTAAATTAACAGGAACACAATTTTCAATTGAATATCAGGGAAATTAGTTACCTCCTGTTTGGATTACTGCAACACACTCTACATGGGACTGTCCTTGAAGACCATCTGGAAGCTGCAACTGCTCCAGAATGCAGCAGCTTGTGAGGTTTTGGGTGCCCCACAATTCACTTAAGTAACATTGCTGCTGCATGAACTGCACTAGCTCCCAGTTGTTTTCTGGGTGCGATCAAAGGTACTGGTTATCACCTTTAAAGCCAACACGGCACAGGGCCAGGTTACCTGTGGGACTGCCTCTCCCTGAATGTATCTGCCCGTCCTACTAGGTTAGATAGGGTGGGCCTGCTCCAGGTCCCCTACCTTAAATCCTAGCATTGGACTAGGATGGAGGTTGAGCTGCAAGGAAGACCGGTCTGGCACCTGTGGGGAAGGATACTTTTCTTTTTAACTAAGCTTTTTATGGATTGTTGTGAGCCACCTGGAATCATCATATGAGGTAGGCAGCCATATAAGTCATGTAAATAAATAAATATTATGAAATAAATAAAGTGTTGCTAACACTAAAAGTCCTTTGACAATGGAAGCCATTGTGGAAGGAGTAGATGAACACTGGAATACTAGACAGTCAAGGATGATTTAAATGGAATAACTGTATTAAACACCTGTAAGATTTTGTGTTTGGAATACTTCTATCCACAAGATTAAATTGAACAAATAGCTGGACCCTGAACAGCTTTTATTGCCCATCAGACATGCATACACATGCAACATGGCACTCCTTTTTGGTGTAAGTAAGATTACGAATGTGCAGGAAAGGAGTAAGAAATAGTAAACAATAATCCTGGCACCCACCAGAGCTATCCACCAGTATTTTATCTTGTTTTTCAACATCTCATTTGCTCTTTTTTGAGGATTTGATCAACTTTATCCAACCCCAACTTTTTTCTTTCAACTTTCTTTCCACCTGTTTATGTTTTCTTCATCTATTTGTTTTGCAATTTGATTGTCATCCAGTTTCTCTATATGACCAAATCTTGAAATCATACTTTTTTCATTTTGATCATTCGCAGTTCTATCAGATCCACGTTCATCCATTACCCACTAATTCTTGATCTTATCTTTTCTTGTTTTACTACATACACTTCTTAAGTAATTAATTCCAACTGCACTTAACTTCCTTTTATGTTTCTCCTGTTATACCCAGTTCTCACTTCATATAAGCAGAATAGGCAAAAGTGCTTTACACGGCCATTTTTGGTTCTTTCTACATTCATTCCTTGCAAGATACTAAATACAATTCACTATCTTTCTACAAACATTTCCATATCTGAAAACTTCACCCATTTCCCCATCTTCAGTAAAGTTCTACCAGAGTAAACAAATTCATCTATTAGCTCTATTTTTTATTAGTTTATACATCTATGTTTAACTTGCAACTGTTCATTCTTTTTTCCCCTGTCAAACAGCGACCTTGGTCTTTCATAAAATCATGATTAGATCTCTGTGATTCATTGCGTCATACAATCTATCTCACATTCACTGCAGATCATTTAGGTTTTCAGCCAACAACACAACATTGTCTGCATACAAAAGTACTTGGGCATTCACATCTCCCAAGCAGCGCACCTCTAAAATCCCCATACAGAAATATACCCTTATCCATATCCCCAACCCACACAACTCTAACATCACCACAAGCATTTCTTACACATTTGTTCATAAATATATTTTAAAGAAGGGGGACAATACACAGCCTTATTTTACTTTCTGCTCAATACTGACAATACTGACTAAGCATTCCATTTACTTCCATTGTATACTAGGAGTAGCCATTTAGCAACTGAGCTTCAACATCATAGTCACACAAAAGATTCCACAATTTAAGTCTATTCACCTTAGCATGCTCTTTTTATAAACCACTAGATATAGAATAAACTTCCATTCTTATATTCATACAGTTCTCAGTGATCTGCTCAAGAACACACATCCAATCTGCATATCCCTAAGTGGCATAAAATTGTACAGTAATTCTCAAATTTAGCTCACTGCCACCCCTATATCCTTTCAGTCAGAACACTGCCACTTTCTCAGCACTTTTAACAACATAATTGTCAGATTGTCATCCTCACAGTCTGAACTGGAAACACTTAATGCAAAGAATGAGAATCCAAATATTCTGGCTAGTAGTATTTATTAGAAATACGGCAAATGTTATTTCTAATTCTAAAGCTTCTTAAAATAAATGTATATTGTTCAAATGAAAAGAAAGCAAGATCTCTTTCTGCTTTCTGTCTTAATGGGTTTCTCATTAACTAATACTCATTTCCTAGTTATGACTCCCATGATTGATCTCTGCGTATAGCCTTGCATCACCATTTGAATAAAATAAATTGTGATAAAATTGAATAATTATATAAGTATCTATATATATCTATATATATCTATATATATCTATATATATGTATATTTTGCTCTCAGGTGACTCAGCTATATGGGTTAGCAGTATTTGAAGACTATTTGTATGCAACAAATTCAGACAACTTCAGTGTTATACAAATTAACAGATTTAATAGCAGAGATACAAAGTTTTTAATGAGATTTGAAAATGCTAAAGATATCCTTGTTTACCACAAGAGAATACAGCCAACAGGTAAGCATCCAGATATCTTAATTGTAATCTTTTAATGCCCTACTTGTTATTTAAGATTAGAATGTTAATCTTGGGTTTAATGAAGTTAATCACATTTGCTCTTCAGTGTAGATATGTATTTTTTCAGGGTTAAGGAAAGGATTAAATTATGATGTTTTATCTCATTTTATATTCATAATATTATATATGTCTTGGTTACTAAATGGGTAAATTACGGATTTTTTCAGTTCTTCAACAAGCTTGTAACTTCATGTGCTTACACACATTGTAATTGAAATATAGATTTGGGTTTCAAACTAGATTATTAACTATTATTATTATTGTTGTATTTCTGAATGCAATTTATATAGGAATTCTTTAAAAGAAGATATTTTGAAGTTTCTCAGGATTTTGTGAGAAAGTAAATAATGGGGCCTTCTTCACCTATTTTTTTAAGAATACTAACATTAAAAAAAGTTAAAGAAAAATATCACAGATTTCAGCTAACAGTGTTACGAGTGATTTTGCATGACAGTTTTTGTACCAAGAAGTATGTATACAGCACAGAACTCACCTACATTTTTTCTTTAATAATTTTGATTTCCATTAGGCTACTACTATATAATTTGATATTACTTATATTTTAGTCCAGCTAAAGTAGCATGGGGCAAATCCATTAATAAGTATAATATTCACATTAATATACACAATGAGATGACTGAGCCAAAGTCACTTCATAGTAGAATACCCATACTAGTTGAAAATAAATTTTACAGAATGAAATTAACAGCAACAATGAGGTTAATGAGGAATTTATCTTTAAATAGCGGTTACAAGTTATCTTTTCTGTTGTTACAAGTTTGTAAATGTAGCATGTTGCTAAGCGTAAATGTACGGCTTTTCAAAAATTACCTCCTTAATGGCTACTAGAACTTTTTACTCCTGCCTTGCTCACCATCAGTGCTCAATGACTGAGCAGAGATGGGGGAAATGCCAGAGTACAGATAAATTGTACCGATCATAAAGAAGTGGAGAATAAGTGTACCATTATTTTCTGTGACACATTTATTATACCTTACTAACCTTGGAAGGGCTCTATGTTGTGCAACTTTCAATATGCAAAGAAATGCAAAAACAAAGAATTGCTGTGAATAATTAGATGTGAATAATTGCACAAATAAGAATTATGAATGACTTGTAGTTAGGCCATTTATATAGAGCTGTTTCCTTCCAAAGCATTACATTATCCAATTAGAGAAAAAGCAAGTGACCAAGTGATAAATATACACACATGTACATATATAAAGTCTTAGTGAGTGGGTGTGCACTGGAAGAATATTCATAAATCCCATAGTTCAGATCTCAGCCCTCAGATGTCAACTGTGAGAATACTGTTAAAAAAATATAGTTCTGCAAGCTGACCTTCTGCTTCTCTCTCTGAAAGCTGTGTTTACGACATACTATTATATGTCCTTTGCCATCATGTTGTTTCTTTTCATGCCCTTTGCTATACGTAGATGTTTTTATCTGGAAAGGATCTTTTGTTATTCATTACACCACAGGCTATCGTGCTGCTTGGGTATACATAATTTATCTTTTTAAAGATAGAAACCTTGTGGACTATGTCATTTGTTGAAATGCAACAAGTCCACAGAGAAAGAAATATATATTACAGAGCTGTGCAAAAAAAGGAGATTCCTAAAGGCTGTTAGTATTCCCCCTCCAAGCACTAAAGTATCTGTGTCCTTTTGAAGATTGACATCACTGTTTCAAAGGCTAACCTGGTTGTCAGCCCAAGCAAGTGGATGTGTGGGCAGCACTTTGGTTGGAAATGCTAGCCAAACACCTATGCATGGACACCCAGTTTGGGACAATCTTCAAAGCCACCATGTGAGCCTCCCAAAGGAAGCAGAGGAAAAACTAAGTTACTAGAAGATGCGTTCTACTTTTGTTAGTGCATTCCAACAGCAGCTCTTTTGGCATTGCTGGAATAAATGCTCATCTTATCAATGAAGACAGACACCTGTGCAGAAACAAATTTCTACAGTACATGTGCATCTAATTGGAGCTTCCTAGATACAGCTTTTGATTATTACAGCTGGATGAAGACTACTGATTACTGAAGGCAATAGTTGTAATGGTGAAATTATTACATTAGATAGTTTACATTATACACTACACATTATAGAACAGATTACATTATAATCTATTTGGTCTTTCAGAATTCCCGGAAAATATATTGCTACTCGTTGTTCTGCGTTTTACATACCTCACCCCTAACCCCAAAAAGCTATACATTTTTTCTTTAGCTTTACTTTATTATTTGTATTTTGGATTATATCAAGGAAAATTGTAAATAATATTTTCCACTTTTTTTTTCTGTTTGAATACTTTCAGATGATTTTTATAGAACAAGACTGATGTTTTATACAACAGAACATTAGTCTTGTTGTATAAAACTCTTTCCAAGTTTTTCATAGAGGAAAAATATGAGGAAGTTGCATTCCAGATGAATAGGACTAGTATATTTTTAGATGTGGTACTGGAATACCTGGTAATAGTTTGGAATAATGAAGCTACTGCCTGGTGGTACAACATTCTATTCAAAATATTAGTACATTCCCCTTAATGTGTACTTTTTGTCTCCTCTTCTCTTTTTGTAGCTCTGATTAGATAGCAAGACTTAAAATTGTTATATGTGAAATGCAAATTATATGCTTCCCTGAGGATGCTGTTTTCTCTGTTTTTTCCTAAGGGGGGGGCAATTTTCTTTCTGCAGTCTCCCATTCCATAGGTCCTAAACATACAGTACATTTCTTGATTCATATTTTGAGGACACAGGGCACCTGCAAAAGACAGTGGAGGAAAAAAATCTAGTGGCGTAATTAGAAGTTCATTTAACATTGCATCTAGAATTTAGAGACATTATGAAACATTTGGCCAGTATTATTTCACTTTTATTATATTTTGATTGGGGAGGCCAAGATTTGAATGAAAATATGAGAAAAGACATACACTGACCTTGCCTGTTTCAAAATGAATCATTTTTGAGTGACAGGGCACGTGCAAATGCATACTCACATAGACATGGTTTCTTGGCCCCTCTGGGGATCCCTAAGCCCACAATCCCAAAATCCTTATGTACTGTTCCCCATCTCTCAAGGAGAACCTGTTTGTATATACTATGGCTACATTCCTTTCAGAATGAGAGTTACTGATTCAGTAAGAATGCAAAGTCTTTATTATGTATATATGATTAAAGAATTAAAAAGATGCCAAGAAAACAGTAAGAGAAAAGGAATCACAGCATCAAAGGATACAAATATTGCTCACATAGAAATAAAGAAGAATAGAGCAATACAGAGGGTCATTGATGAGCTACTAATTTGTGATCCTATTATCTCTCTAGTCCTGACCTTAGGAAGCAATAAATCAAAACGTTTGTGATAATTTTTACTGACTATTCAAACAATTGGTTGCAATTATTTTGCTTCTGAATGCAATATGAACCAACACTAATGACATCTTCCATTAAAAATGCATTTGGTCTACAAGTTCCATCCTAGAATCTTAGACTCATAAATATTGTAGGGGCTATTTAAACCAATGAGTTCAATCCCCTGCTCAGTGAAGGAATTCAGATTAAAGTATCCCAAACACATGGCTGTCCAGCCTCTGTTTCAACACATTCTTCCACTGTCAAATGAAACTTACTATTAACTTTTGTTAATATTCAAGCAGAATATGCCTTCCTGCAACTTGAAACATGTATCCTGCACCTTGGGATGATACAGAATAGGTCTTAACAAACCACTAGTACTTGCAACATGCTGTTAAATATAGCAGTTCCTTCTACTGTATATCTCTCTTAAAACTAGTCATCTCACTGCCCTTCTCTGCCCCTATTCTAGTTCATCTGAATCTTTAGTAAAAGACAGTGATCAATATTTGAGGTGGGGTCTGGCCATTTTAAAACTCAGCAGAACTGTTACTTCCTTTGATTTGGAAATTATACCTCAGTTAAAAAATCTAAAATTGTATTTGATTTTGCTAGCAGTTACACAACACTGATCAACCATATTAATTTTGTGATCAGTTAGAACTCCAGGTTTCTTTTCATGTGGATTAAGCAAGTATTCCCAGTCCTGTACCTAAGCATTTGATTTGTCTTTCTTAAGAAGGACATTTCAATTGCCTTTATTAAATCTATGTCATTTTCAGCCTGCTTCTCTAATTTATCAATATCATTTTGAATTTTCTTTCTGCCTTCTAGAGTATTATCTATCTCCCCTAGTTCTGTGTCATCTTAGATAAACATTCTCTCTGTTTCTGCATTCAACTAATTAAGAAAAGATACCCGGTCCAGTACCAAATTCCATTATGTCTGACTTGGTAGCTCACTGTAGTTTTATAAGGATTGCTGAGCATTGTTTTCAAGCCAGCTCTCAGTCTACCTAGGTACTTGACATCCACTACATACAGTATTAATTAAGATGCAAATGTTATATGGTAAGGTTGGGCAAATCCTTCCAAAGAAGTGCTTTGCAACTCAGAGAAGCAGCCATATATTTTTCCGGATTCATACAGGTGCTCTGTAAGCAGCCTGAATAATGACTAATTTCACAGATGAGGACTACTGGGACCACCTTGCAAAGCATTCATGCAACTCGGGAAGAACCGCAGGTGCTTTAGTGACTTTCACAGCACAGTCCCTCTTTCAAAGCATTTGTATAGTACTGAGCTGTGGTACTGCTAGACTTCACCCAGCAAGTGGAGGGAAGCCAACGAAACAAGTGTACTAGAAACCAAGAACTGCAATTTCACTATGAAAGAATTCCAATGAGTGCCATTTTTCTTTCTCCAAAAGTAAGTGTCATGTATGACAGGATTCCTCAACCTTGGCGACTTAAAGATGTGTGGACTTCAGCTCCCAGAATTCCCCAGCCAGCATGGGAGTTGAAGTCCACACATCTTCAAGTCACCAAGGTTGAGGAACCCTGATGTATGATACTCAGAGTTTT